CTTCATCACTTCAATTACGTTCGTGTATTTCCCTTTTTTTTCTCTTCTTCGTCGTCTTCTTCTTCTTCTTCTTCTTGTCACCCACATTTTTCTTTCTTTTCTCTTCTTCCTTCTGCGTCTCTTACAAACATTACATTGACACATTGAGTTCTCCGCACATACACACACATACATACACATACGACAAGAGCAGAGACTCTATAAATATATTAAAAAAAAAAACAACGATTCAAATGATGACATAAAACATGGATCGAATTACATCGTCGTACGCATTAATACCTACAACTGAACTTGATGGAAATCCAAATATTGCTGATCTTTGGCCATCTCCTAATGGAACTTACATGCAACAAGTAACAAATAATAATAATAACAATAATAATAATAATAATACAATTCAGCAAACATTATCAAATAATAATTCAATACAATCATCTCCTGGTCTTAGTTATGCACGTCGTTATGCAGCATCAAAACCACCTTACTCTTGTAAGTTTATAAATCAGGAAAAAAAATGAATTTATTATTTATTAACTTTTTTTTCTTTTACTTTTTTTAAAGATATTTCATTAATAACACATGCTATCAATGGTTCACCCGATCGTATGTGTACATTATCACAAATTTATCAATATATTCAAGATCGTTATGCATACTATCGACAAAATCAACAACGCTGGCAAAATTCTATTCGACATTCATTATCATTTAATGATTGTTTCGTTAAAGTTCCACGTAGTACAGAACGTCCGGGTAAAGGTTCATTTTGGGCATTACATCCTGATAGTGGAAATATGTTTGAAAATGGTTGTTATTTACGACGACAGAAACGTTTTAAAATAAGAGATAAAACAAAAGATCCAAATAAATCAAAAATAACTAATAAAGATAAAATGAGCAATTTAAATTTAAATAAATCTCATTCATCATCATCATCATCAACAATATCTGAAAATACAATAGGAAGACTTGATTCACCTGGTTCATCACCAAGACAAGCAACGGTATCAGAATCATTATCTGTACCATTAACACAACAATACTATCATCAGCATCATCAACATTATCCACAAGTTCCATCACAAACAACATATTCTACTGAATCAGTACCTATTATTAAAACAGAATATCATCATAATCCAACATCATCATCATCAATTTATACACATCAAACATATGATACAAATAATAATGGTTTACAATATTTAACTTCAGAACATAATCAACAATATTTTCATACAATTGATCAATCAGCATCAGCATCATTTTTACATCAAATCGCACCACCACCACCAGGTACATTTCGTATTGATAATCTTATAAATGGTCAACCCGATTTTAAATCTTTCTATTCAACAATGACTGGTCATGAAACAACAAGTAATTATTTGGATACAACAAATACCAATAATTATTATTTTAATAATACAAATCCTTCATCTTAATTTTCTTTATTTGTTTCTTTCTTTCTTTTTCGAGTTAACCTAGTCTCTCTCTTTACAATACAATACAACAAAACAAAAAAAACACAAAATTATGATCAAATTCTATGCGGTGTTTTCTGTTTCTTCATTTTTTTTCTGTCTTCTCAATATACTTGTGCGTGTGTGTATGCGTATGTCAATATATATATATATATCTATATGTGCAATTTCTTATTCTCAGCAACAAAAGACATGATTGTCAAAATCTTGATTGATCTTTTTCTTTTTTTTCTTGATTATCAATTTCTATCAGACAGGTAGCTCCACTATATGCACGTTCAGCAAACAATGAAGAATATGTACGTGCGAGAAGGATTAGATTCTATATGAATATGAACATATGGTTAGAGAAAATAAAATACGAAGAGAATTTTTTGTCTATGTTATATGTGACATCCGCTTGTGAAAGAATATCTATCGTATCATGTAATCGATAGTTTTCTTTTTGTTGACTAACTATTTATTGATATCGGTTTGATTATCGACTTTCCTTTATGTTAATAGTGAAAATGAGCCGCTTGTCTGATAATAACAATAATTTAAATATGTTAGCTCTTCGTTCTCTTTATATTTTTATTTGATGATGATGATGACAGAAGCCTTTTCTCTTATTCACTTATAGTTATATTATAATGAAGAACTGCTTTTCTGCTTCGTCTTTGAGCAAATATTTGTTCCCTATTACACACATCCATTCTCGACACACATACACGCACATTACGAATGATGACAACCACAAAAATTTGTGCTACTATTTGGTTCGACTTGTGTCTCTCTCGTCTCTTTCTCTCTGATGTATGCTCGCTCAGTGAAGCTTTTTCTTCTCTTTACACATTGTGTGTGTCGACGAGACGCTCTATTTACAACAAACAAAACTTTACTAGTAGTGAGGCGTATGTACACAGAATCTCTCTCTTTTTTTTCATTACTTGCTCACATAGTTAGTAGTGCACACACATACAACATCATGAGAAGAGTATAGTACATATGATGGTTTGAAAAAAAACCTGAATTCTTCTTATTTAAAATCAATCATTTTGTAAAGGTAAGTTGAAACAAATTGATAACATAGAGAAATTCAAATGCAAACTGTGAATAAATGATGGGAGAGATTATCTTTTCACATATACAAAAGAAGAAATGCTCAGTTTCATTTTTATCTCAATATCAATCTTAACAATATGTCTACATACATAATATTCTCCTTCAACTGATAAGAATTTCTTTTTTTTTACTGTTTTCTTTTCATTCGTCGGGGAAAGTCCGTATATGTAAAGGGAAAAAGGTACTTTTTTTTGACGAATCATTCAACGAGATTCTTTTTTTTTATGTATTAGAAAAAGGCTGTCTATGTCTGAGTCTTAGCCTTTACTTCTTTTTTTACCTCCCTTCTCGTCATTTATGCAGATAAGAAATCAAACCCTGCCTTCTTTGTCTTTTTTCTCTTTCTTGTCTTTTTTTGTTGCTTGACTCAGGTTTTTCTTGACAATCCATTGTAACTTGACTGCACATTATAGTGACGACATTTTTAGACGAAATAGCACGTACTCTCAATTTCTTGCTCGTATTCTTTCTTTTCTTTTTCTCCTTCTCGCTTTCTTTTTCTTGCATATAATGGTTAAAAGTGTGCTAGAAAAGAGAACAACTGATTCGTCGGTTGAATGGCTGAATTATAATAAAAAGCGGGCGCATATATGCAGCAAAATGTCGTTGTATAAAGGAAAGACGAAGAAGAAGAAGAGGAGAAGAGCTTTTGATCGTGCTACTACGACAAACGCCGAGAGAAGAAAAAAAAACGCGATAGAGAGAAAAAGAGAAAAATGAGAGAATAGAAAGCAGACTTTTTACTTGAGGGATTCATTTCCGTTTTTCTCTCTTTGCTCGACGGGGATTCGTCGCATTGGTGGTTGTTGTTGCCGTCATCGTTCTCGTCGAAAGATTTGTTTGTATTCGAATTGACGTTGTCTACAATACACGCGAACAATCAAACTATCCTTTAATTTTTAAATGATGATCAAATAGTGGTCGAGACAACGACCACCCATCAACCCAGATACTTATTGACTTTGTGTGTTCTCTTTTTTTCCACGTACTACGAGAAGAGAAAAGAAGAAAAATAAAAATCAAACAAAAAAAAGAAAAAGTTGGAGAACAAGAATACGAATGAAAATGCACAATCATCATACTAGTATTGGTGATGAATCGACATCATCATCATCAAATAATACTACACCTGAATTTAAACCAGAATTGAATGAACTATTACACATACAGCCACAACAACAACAACAACAACAACAACATCGACATACTCTTATTGAAGCACAACATTTAGATTATGCAACTCTTGTACCTGTTCAATCTCTTCCAACTACAAAGATTGAATTAGAAACATCAACAATGCATTATTATGAAAATCCACAACCATTACCACCATCAAGTTATATGTTAACTCAATCACCTTATGATTTAAATCATTCTGTTGAAAAAAATAATATAGATTTAGTTTCATCTGCATCACGTCAACAACAACAACAACAAGCTACCACACCAACATTATCTGGTAATCGTCGTGGTAATACACCATCAAAACCACCCTATTCCTATATAAGTCTTATTACAATGGCAATACAACATGCACCAACAGGCATGGTGACATTAAATGATATTTATCAATTTATTATGAATGTATTTCCATATTATCGACAAAATCAACAACGTTGGCAAAATTCTATTCGACATTCATTATCATTTAATGATTGTTTTGTTAAAGTTCCACGTGGTCCTGATCGACCTGGTAAAGGTTCATATTGGACATTACATCCTGATGCTGGTAATATGTTTGAAAATGGTTGTTATTTACGACGACAAAAACGTTTTAAATGCACAAAACAAGCATCTAAAAATCGATCACGAACAGCCAATAATGGACAACAGCAATCAACATCAGGTATTATATCAAATGATATGAATAAAACAGATCCATTGGCATCAAATAGTGATGAATCAGATGGTGATGATGATGAAGAAGATGAAAATGAATCTATTGAAAGTGGCAATGCAAGAGATGATGAACATCATCAACCAATGATTATGGATGGTCAAATTCATATGCCATTATCAAGAACATCATCATCAACTCCAACACAAATTTCTCTTAATCATGCAACTGTAACTATTAGTCATTTTACTGCACCTATACCTAAACTTTTATCAACAAATGAAGATACTTATCATCAACAAAACGGTAAATATTAAAAAATTAACATTAAAGAAAATTTATTTTTATAATCATTTTTTTTCAGGCAATGGTGTTTTAATTTCTCCTTCATCAAAACAACATGAAACATGTCAATCAGTTCCTCGTTCTCCTCAAACACAACAACATCATCCTCATCATCATCTTCATCATCATTCACATCAACTCTATTCAAATGAACAGCAACAACATTTTGTTTCTATTCCTCATACACCTGTTTATGCTGATTTACAACCATATCCAACTAGTACAACAACACCAACAGACATTGTCTTTTCAAATAATGGACCAACATCAACAACCACAACAAACTATTATACATCAGAATCATCACCAACATCTTCAACTAATAATTCACTTCATCCACAATCATCATCTGCCTACTATTTTGCATCATTTCCTCCAACAACTTCATCATCGGTTATAACAAGCAACAATGTCGTTGACTATCAACAGCCGGTTCGGCTTTAGAGACATAACAAGACAGCAACTACAGAAAGAAAATATACGTATACGTATATATATATATATGTAAAACCAAATCGACTAAGCAATACTGTGATGATGATGATTGAGAGGCGAGAATGAATGATAATCATTAAATATGTGTTTATGTGCGTGTGTGCGTGCATGTGCGTTTGTGTGTCTTTGTCTCTGTTCTAATTTATTCAGCTATATCTTACAATGTGTACAGTGGATTCTTTATATTCTACCTCATCGTTGTTCTTTATTGCATCATTCATTCATGTTCTTATTTGAGTATGATATCAATATGTACTGTAAGAAGACATATCGTAGTAGACTCAAGTAATCACGAGACAGGGGGCTTTTTTTTTCAATTGATTGATACTCAATTGGTGCCAGTGGTGTTCCTTTCTTTAACCTCCTCCTCCCTCTCTCCTCCTTCCTCTGTTTTCTTCTAGTATATGAAACGAAAAATGTTCTGGTGAAATTGACATGAACCTTACGGCGCTCTCCTTTGCTATTGAATTCATTCATTCATTCATTCCGCTACATACGCACAGAATGAGTAAGAAAAGAGACAGCCCAAAGGAAGAGAATTGTGATTGAAAATTTTCTTTTTCGTGCAGTCTTCACCGCCATCATTGTTGTTGCTGCTGCTTGTTCCGATGAGTTTATAGAAGGAGAAAGAAGAAAGTAAAATTATAATATATCGTCTATTTTACAGCTAGTCTAATTGTTGATCTGATGACCTATTAGTTGCAAAGAGAACAAGTGTCACTCATATCATATAAAGAATGAACAGTTAAGAACATTTATGTTCTGTTCTTTTCGAGTTCATTTTATATTTTAATAGCATTCATATTAAAATTTTACATTCTGACTGTCTCTTTTATTTATTTAGCACAAAAACAAACGAATATAAGTGAGAAAAAAAACGAAATCATGCGGCTTAATTAAAAAACAGACATTGTATGTGTTATTATTGTTCAATGGCAAACAAGCAATACGAATATTTTTTTTTATATTCTCGTTCAAAAATACATTTTTTTTAAGTTTTGAAAGATCTGTTTTTAAGAATATAATAAATATCTTGTGTATAAATATGATTGGATAGAAAATGTTGACTTGTGAACGAACGAGAATAAGGGAAATACAATATTTTTCCATTAGCCGATAATTCGATTTCTTTCTACCTCTTTTTTTTTTCTTTATATGAGAACATGCCTAAAACGGCCTCGCACCCTTAATTGCTTCGTTCTCTTGCTTTCCACTTGATAGTAAAATGTGCTATAGTATATATGCATGATTCGTGATAAGAACCGTAAGAATCTCTCTCATTCTCTCTTGCTTCAAGATAAAACTTTGCTCTTTCTCCTTCTCTCTTTTCTATCTCTCTCTCTCGCTTTCTCACCCACAGTGCTCTTGAGAGGAGAGAACAGTTGTTGGATGGTGATGATGCTCGTAAGAAAAATCATATCGGTTGAAACATAATAAAAACAACCTTGTCGACGTTTGTGTCGTTCTTGTCTATACTTTACGAGAAATATACTAAATGTAGTGCAAAAGTAAAGTGGACTGATTCAAGTGTACGTATGGCATGTGCATTGCTATATCATATAAAATCGCCTTATTTCACTTTTTTCTTTGCTCTTTCTCTTTTCCTCTTATTCTTCTATTAAAAAACAACATCAATGGACAAGCATATGACAGCTTTGAGTATTCACTCTCTATCCTTTTAGTTTCGATAGGATTACTTGCTCATTTGGCATCTCCGATTTCCTCGCCATTATCGCTGCTTTACGAATGTCATCGGATAGGCAAGCGTGCGACATATACATACACTCTCTTCTCGATTGTTTGCGCAACGATTTAATAGGATTAATTTATCACAAGCTTTCATCAACGGTTATTCAAAAGAATAAAGAAAATTTTTATAAATCAGTCTAATTCAAAAAAAAAGGATGAGATCTTTACTCTTATTTTATAAACGTTTCTAATTTCATTTGAATTATATTTACGAGATCACCTATAAATAGATAAAGATTATCATAAGAAAAATCTGAAATTTTAGGTTCCAAAAAAAAAAATGAATATTCAACGGACAGAAACTCATTGACTTATTGTTCTTGAATGTATAGATTTATGAGTTAAAAAATGAATAATAAGAAATGTGTTATATTTCGACAAGGCTCTTGAATATGGCATCAAATATTACATACCATCAAGAAGTATTAAATTTACGAAAGAAAAAACAGAAAATATATTTACGCAAACATTTATTCTCACTCAATTTGTGTCACATAAGAATATGTTTTTAATATACCTGCAAAATCACTCAAAAACCTGTAAACCATATGTAAAGTATATATTCAATGAAGCATATGAAGTGTATTCAAGATTAAATAAATACAAGGGTATTCATATAGAAAATTCTAACGTTTTTTTCGTAAAATGGATTTCTTTTTTTTTTATGTATATTAAAATGAGTAATAAATATGATGTAGATCCATTAAGAAATTGACAGACATCGTTACATTTCAGCACTCGAAGAATATTGATTAAAAGTAGAAAAAGTTGAGTAGTATGAATCTTATCAATACATCTACACAACTTGTATCAAAGATAGAGAAGCAATAAATTTTAACTGTTAAATGATATTGCCAATAGAGTAGAATTTATTGAGATAACATAAAAATTATCGAATCTTATACTTAAATCCCACATATCTTCTAGTCAATTAATGAATAATTTCATGATTTGTTTTTGAGATATAAACATTCTGAAAATATCTTATAATAATTTTTAAGATTATTACATAAGACTTATTAATATATATTGAACAATCAATTAAGAACAAATTTTTCTTAGCTAAGAAGATTTTGACTGACGAGTTATCTTTGTTCTAGCAATTACTACTAACAAGAAGAAAACAAAGTTAAAGATAGTAAATCAAATAAGACAGAATGAGTTTTGTTTTCTAATCAAGTTTAATTCAATTGAAATAATGCTTGAAAGGAACATGTTGTTTTGAAGAAATTAATGGTAAATGAATATCATTTAGCGATGGTCCATATTTGCTTAATAATCTACGAGCAATCATAATTGAATCACCTGAAAATAAATGAAAATTTCTTTAAAACTAAAGTAGTGTACATTAAAAAATACCTTGTGTAGTTGTTGGATAAAACTTCGAATCTAACATAAAAAATGGTGATTCAGCTTCCAAAAATAAACGTTTATTCAAAAGATTTGTATCAAGTGGATGACCCTAATTAAAATTCATTGAATTAAAATAATAAATAAGAGACGAAAATAATATACTTCAACAAGACTTTTGAGCAATTCATCGAAAAAGACACGCCATCGAGGAGCATAATAACTATATAAATGTAATATTAATTAACAAATATTAAGATCTTGTCCTAAAAAATCATATTGTTTCTGAGTTATCTCAATTGAAATATAAACAATTTAGTTCGTACGTATATCTCATTAAAACCTTAAGCAATATAATTCTTTTCAGAAAACAAACAAATTAACTGATACACATAAATATACGTACTCTCGAATCATTCCTGACCAAAATTTATTTGCATAATCATAAAGTCCTAATGTGTAATTAACTCCCCATATCGATACTTGAAGTTTAGCATTTAAGTTATAAAAATGAATTTCTTCTTCATTCTTTGCAAACTGTAATGCATCTCTTATCCAATTGCCTAAAAGAAATCGACGATCCGAAGCCAATACCATTTCCATATCAGATAAAATATCAACAAGTATAGCTGCTTGTGTACTTAAAAATAATAAGATATTTTAAGATAAATATCACATAATTACTATATAAATACATACCCTACTCCATAAAGATCACTTCGGTTGTAAGCAACTATCAATTGAAAATAATCACTAGCAAATTTATATTGAAGTACTTCTTTAGTTATATCTACTAAATCATATCGAAATAAATCCGAATCAAGTTTATTCGATGCATTAACTAATAATGTCCACGCTGATATAAGAGATTGAAGATCGAAACTAATCTATTATAGAAATTATTAAAAAGTGTTATTTAATATATATAAAAATATTATGAAATTATTTCTTACACTTTGACCTCGATCAAGTCCTGGTCTGCGTAGCATTAATGAATTAACACGAAGAGGATTTACATGATAAACTGAATTTCCTAACTTCTGCCATGCTAATATTGCAGAAGTAGGTATTTCACTATTACTTGTATAACGACGCATAACAAAATTAGCTAACCTAAAGTTATAAAATTCATGTGTAAGAAAAATTAAATTATATAGCAATTACCAAGTATTTAATTGTGTATTATTCAATGGAGTACGCCATGATTGTTCAAGAGCAAATTCATACATAACTTCATTTTGATTGATACCTTCCATTGTAATACCAACACCGATCATATATTCTCCTGAAAAATTTCTAGCTGTTTGTGGACCCTAAAATTAATATTTCCTAATCTTTTTTATCATAAAGAAATATATATTTACATTTGTAACATTAACAAGAGAACCGAATAGACCATTATTTCCTCCGAAATCATGTAACATATTCCATATGTAATAATGCCCATAAAATGATTCAAGACGTAAATATTGTGGACGAGCTTCGGAATAAAGATCCAATAAAATTAAATGACCCTTATATCAAATAAAAAATATAATACTAATAAAAATGAAATATTTTTGTACTTCAGGAACTTTGCTCAGATAACTCTTTACACGATCAGGTGTCCAAAAATCTGACAGAAATAACCATGCTTGCATTACCCTAAAATAGAATTCAAACAATATATCTTCTCTAATATTAGTAGAAACATACCAGATGGCATCTGGATCAACTGTCTGCATAGTACGAATTATACCTGCATTGACATCAGCTAAATAATTGAGATCACTATAGAAAATAATTGTAAAAAAACAAAACTAATTATGCTACAAAATTTAAGTATACCTAACTGGGGGTGTCATTTCATTAAAAAGATCACAAGCATAATAATGTGATACAATATTAAGTGAAGTTACCGTCTAGTATAAAAAAAAGAGCAATAAGTATTGTATATGTCTTAAAGTTTTGATTAACAAAAATTAGTAAATAAACGTACTTCATTTAGTAAAGCAACTCCAACTTGTTGAAAAAATGGATCAATTGGATCAAGATATGGTAAACTAAAATTAAATAAAGCAAACATTTTTCCTTCAATATATATTTCATGATCAAAAATATACCAAGAATCATTACAACCAAAATCATTCCAATCTGATGAATAATAAAATTTTGCTGTAGGAAAACGTCTAGAGAAGATATAAATGTAATATTATTTCTGTATTTAATAGTGACAAAAGCTAGTAATAACTCACTGTGGTGCAGTACTAGGCATGAAACCTGTAAAAGCTGGTAGAACTGGTATTATTCCAATATCAGTCATTCGTTGAATTATTTGTTTAGCAAGTTCAAATTGTGATTCATGCCACCTTTGTGATAATGGACCAGCATGTTTTTGAAGATTACCCATACGAAGCCTTTGATGATTAACATATAAACGAGAAAATAATTTATCGTAGAATATAAATATATTTCTTACCAAGCTAAAAAAGCAGGACCAGTGAAGTAGTCATCTAATTCTGATTGAGTAAACCCCATTCGAAGAAATACCTATAATCGTATCAAATATAAAATATCTATACATTTCCTTTCTTCTCAATGAAATAAAAATAAGACTGACTTTACTAAAAATATATTCCATTCCAGTTGTTGCATATACTATATTTATTCCATTCATAGCCATCCAATCGATTTCTTCTTCCCATCTATAATTATATATGGAACAATTAAAGTCTATTTTAATATATAATAATAAAAAATAAAATTTACCTAGAAAAATTCCAAAATACAGCCGAATAACTGAATGTGCATGGATTACCATACCAACGAAAAAGATCATTAGCAGCAATTCGAATAGGTGATGATAATGGAATTAATGATGAGTTAGAAAGATGAATATTTTTGCCAGACCAATAAACTATATTTAAAAACTAAATTATCAAATTGAATTAAACTAAAAATTGAATTCTACATGAACTTTGTGCAATATATTTAAGATAATAATTGAATCCCCATGCAGCAGCAACACCCGATGATGCTGAAATAAGTATTGAACCCGTTGTAGAACCATTCGAAAGTTCAAATACATCTTTGCCATTGTCTGCTAGATGAGTATCGATTGAAAGTTGAAAAAATTTAGCACTAGGAGCATCATTAAGTACACGAGAGATCAAATCAGCAATTGCTTGTGTTGAAGATGTAGAAACAGTCAGTTTAGGCCATTGAATAGCACTATTAGATTCTATGAATATTTAAATAAAATGATATGATCATTTTGCAAATTATAAAAAATTCAATATATCATCTCCTAGTTACTATCTCGTTTAATCTATATTGACACAATATTAAACCACCAATTTAAATAGAGCATAGATAGTAAAGTTCGATTAAAGATTTCGAGTTATCATCCTCCTTAAGTTCATTAACTTACGATGTAATATAATTAGAATAATAACATATTGTAATATAAGACGTAACATCTTTCTTTTTTAGGGAGAACAACTATAATTTATTCTTGAATATTTGTATTCTCTGCAAAGATATAAAATAAGATAAAACGAAACAAAAAAAGAAAAAGATTAACAAATGACGCAGCAAAAGAAAAAAGAATTCATCCAGTTGATAACTTATTTTTTTCTAGATTTAAAAAATAGAATAAATTTATTTATTATATTTATTATGTTCGTGCAGCATGAACAGTTTCTTCTTTATTAATTAAATGACATGTTTTATTAATAATTGTCATTAAGGAATTGAGATTGACTGACCAGTCATTAAGAATTTCTTGTGGCGATTTATGTTGTTGGAATGTAATTATATTTTGTAGACGATCAATTTTTGCAATGATAGTTTTGTTTGAAACAAGATCTGATAAGAATTTTTCAGCTTCATCTTTTGTTAAATCAAGTAAATTAGCTAATTTTTCTGTTCGAACACGAGTATAATATTTAGCCATAATACGAATATTCTAATAGATATAAAAATAAGTTTAGATGAGAAAATAAATACAAAATTCTTACATGTTCAACAATACGACTTTTAAAATCTTCCCAGCGTTTATCTCCATCATTTTCTTTAGTAAAAACCTTTGTAGCTAAATCATTATTTGTACCATTTTTAAGTTCATTTTCAAAATTAGTTTGAATATCTTTCCAATGAATAAGTTCTTGAGTTTTAAAACGTTGTAATAAATCTCTATTTGAAGAAAAAAGAATGGAAAAAAACTAATTTAACGTATTTTTACTTGTATTTTGGAATTTCTTCAAGATTTTTATCAAGAAATAAACGATGTAAAAAATCCGATTGCTCATTATTATATGATGATAAAGTTAAATAGAGTACGACATGTTTTAAAGCTTGTTTCATTTTTTCTGAATCTTGTTTTATACGTGGAGTTTCATAATAATGCTTATAATGCTGACAAACATCAAAATAATTTTTCTCATGTAAATCCATTTCAATCATTAATTCATAATATTTCAATTTTAAATCCTAGAAATTAAAATATATTTAGTTTCATGTCTATTAGTAAATTAAACAAACCCTAACAATAATTAGTCAATTCAATATAATAAATTTATTATTTTGTATAACAAAAGCTTGTCAACGCAGCTCTGTTGAGACTAAAAATGTGGAACTCATGTGTGTTTGTATCGAAGACATCTGATGACCTTTGATCTTCCCTTATTTCTGAGAGAAAGCATATTTTTTGGCGCTGAAACTCTCTTGATGGGTACTACAGAGGATTTTAGCGCAGTTAAAACTTACATGTGAAGCTTCATCTTCAAAAGCTTTAGTATTAATCTTTTTCGATATGATCTGTGTTCGAACATAATCATGTTTCGCTAAACATAAACGCATTTGTTCAAGTAAAAATTCAATTTTTTCACGACGATCCATTGTTCCATAAGTTTCTACCTAAAATAAGATGATTTTATAACGAAAGAAAATAACTCAAAAAATTACTTGAAGTTCTTGTAAAATTTCGGCTGCTTCTTTTGTTTTACCTTGTCCTTCATAGATATCAGATAATTTCTTTGTTAATCGAGCACGTTCATTTTCAACAAAGATCTAAAAATATACAGATGATTGAAAAGATTATCTCCCCGAAACATTTCTTACTTTGCCCGTTGTAACATTTCGAAGTGTTTCAATTAATTTAAGTTTTGTATCTAAATCTGGTGTTTTTTCCACAAGTTCATATGCTTCTTGAACCATTTTTGTAATTGCTTGTTTTAATTGACTGCGACGTTTTGATAATGTTATAATATGTTCATTCATTTGTTCCCATTGTTTTGCTATATAACAATATTTAACAATAGCAACAAGAACACGGCCAGTGGAAATAGCATCGGCTGCCTAGAAATATTATTTATTAAAAAGAAAATGAACTTATTAAAAACATTTCATACAGTTCGAGTTTGTTTTTCAAGTGGTAATAAACGTTCAAGAGCTTCATTTAATTTAGTTTCATCCTAGATTAAAAATCGTAATTATGAAAGAATAAATTTTTATAATTTTGAATTTACTTTCATTAATTCATCACATTCCTTCAGTTTTTGATCAACTATAGATGAATAATCAATTTCCATTTTAATATGTCTATCCGTGTCACCCATAATTAGTTATTTGTTTTAATAATTATTGATTTAGAATAGGAAGAGATTGACGATTAGAAAGTCACAATAAAAAGCTAGTTTGAATTAGTAAGTAAGAAAGTTTACTTTTATGTAAAAGAGGAATGTATTGGATTGGACGACACGTTTACAAGTGTAAAACGCAAAGATTAAGCAGAGAGCCATCTGTAGGAAAAAAGACTAAAGTAAATCATAACTATTATAGGAATCACATAATAGTAGATTACTATATCTATCGATTTTATCTTTTAAAAACTATACGTCTCCGAATATTCACATGTAATATATTATTTTGACATAATTATCATAAGAATGATTATGTGATTTAATTTCGAGCCGTCATGTTATACTATCTTTCTTGATTTTTATTTTCTGTATCTGTTATAAGCAAAAGTAACACTAGTTATTCATATATACTTTTATGTTTTTCATTAATCATGCGAGAAAATATATAATAACAAACGTACAGCATATATCATTTGTTGTCGATTCTTGTCTTGTAAATCACAATGTTAAAACAACTGTTTGCATCTACTGTTCTGTTTAGATAAAAAAATAATACACTAATGTATTTTTCTCTTTTACGTACTATAAATTATATACTGAGAAAATCCAGCATTCATTATTACACTGTAACAATACTGACATAGGCAGTTGATGATGAAATCTAATCTGCTTATTTTTGTATTACTTCGATTAATTGTCACAGGCAATAGTTTTTTAGCTTTCAAAAAGCCCGTAGTACAAAACATAGTTAATCAGAATGTTCTTGCAAATGTTAAAATCTATTCAAATCTTGCTGAAATCATTCAACCACTTGGTAAACTACCACTCGAATTTTCAGAAGAAGATTGGAGAGATATTCGTCCTGATTCACTTACACTTGTTGGTACTAATGTTAATATAACACAACAAACAATTACTGAAAAGAAAAAATCACTTAACAATGCTCCAGTCTATGTTCGTGCGCCATCTTCATCGAATGCCGGAGCAGAATTCATTAAAGCAACACTTGTTGATGAATCAAGAAACTTAGTT